GCCCACCCCAACCCCTTTCTTTAGCTCACCCAGCCACTACTCCGATGGTGTGGACGTCTAGAATCAGCACCACTGTGATGTTGATAACATGTGTGGCAGTCTTTTTTTGTTTGACATCCCTAGATGTGAGGGGGTGCAGGAGGAGTATGGGAGAGGGTGCTTTAATCGGAGTGTGTCGAATTGCTTGTTTGTTAGGGGTGTGTGTGCGTGTGTAAGACGTCTTGTAAGTGTGTAAGTGTAGCATGCCATTTCATGGCAAAAAAATATTTTAAATAAACTGGGAGTGATCTCCCCTAATCTTTCTCGAATATTCTTATATAAAATAACAGGGGATGGGAACTCGGGCTATAGACATGATTTTTAATCCATTTTAAATACTTAAAGTTTTAAAAATAGAATAAAATCTCGTAGACAAATTAATTGCACACCAAGTGAACGCCAAATAAAAAAGCGCATAATAGTGCGCAATATTATTAGTACTTTTAAAATTTACATTAGTTTTTTGAGAAATCGGAAGTAGCGTTAAGTACTACTTCCAGTCAACGGAAATTACTCACAATTTAACAGAAGGTAGAGAATTAGATCTTTTACTTATGTGTGAAATTTCATTTATCTATCTGAAATAGTACTCAAGTTATAGGCTTTTGAAAAATTCAAAATAGGAAAAGTACCACTTCCGGTTATCGGAAATCGCTCAAAAGTTGATACGGATCTACGATTTTGATAAAATACTTATATATGAAATTTCATCAACCTAGCTGTAACGGTGCTCAAGTTATCGTGTTTACACACGGACAGACAGACAGACAGACAGACAGACAGACACACAGACATACGGACAAGATTGCAAAATTATGTTTTTCCGTATCAGTGAGGTGTAAAACGTCGAGATTTGTAAAAATCTCGATTATTTTTTTTTGCACGATTACAAGACTTTCTCTATACTTCGTATATACGAGAAAGTAAAAATATTTAAATCCAATAAAATCTCCTGTTGACATTTAACATGACAAATTCGTCTGCAGCATTATTTTATCAAAAATAAAATGTAAATAAAATGAAATTATTTTGAATAACTTAACCCGTCGAAGAGAGATTAGAGAAAAACACAGTCAAAGAAAGATAATCATGAAAAATAAAACACTAACATTAATATTAAATGAGTTACTTCCCTTTGAACAGCGAAGCGCTTATACTTGTAAAGCTCTCACAATACCGGAATGGACGAAAAAATACATTGTGTGTAGATTTTCAAATGGAAACACATATAAAGTATTGTAACACTGCATGTTTGTGTGTGTTGACACAACGTCCAACATAACACATACGACTTTTGACAGTAACAGATTCGTTACCTGTCAAAGTAGACAGGGCCTAGGGGCACACACTGATACAGTTCAGAATCTCCTAAAGAAAACCCATCTAGACCCCCGCTGTAATACCTAGTGAGAAGGATTTACTGACTGGCGTTAACCTCCTTAATTAATAACATGGAGTGGAAATAGTCTACACATTCTACCAACATGTAATGAAAATATCCCATCAATTGAATCAATATAAAAACAAATGTGGACTTTGCCAAAAATCCCCCCCCCCCCCAAAATTCCCCTCCCCAATTAGATGAATAATTAGTTTTACTGGCATTAGCTTTATTAACACCGCTCGACATACATTTGTTTCTAGACAGTTTGATAAAATATCAATTGGTGTCCCCCCCCCCCCCCATTTGCGAAATATGGCGTCAAGTCATGCAGAAGTCCATGAAGGGTGTCAGGCTTTACTAGCCCCACCCCCACTCCACAGCGTAACATAACGTCACAATTTTACTCTAAAAAAATCATTGACCACAGTTTAATGCTGTTAAATCCTGGCGAGTTTTAGGTCCATCGATCCATTTGTTAAATAACATTCTTAAAGCAAAGGCTAAGGTGTACACAAATACTACACCCACTCACTTTTGTTACACAATGTCACAAAGTCTGATGCACCCCGCCCAGGAGGGTGCCGGTTCATCCCCTGGGATCGAGGTACATGTTGAGGGGGGGGGGGGGGATGAGGACTCTGGAAAATGACAAGCGAAGCAGTAGATTTTGAAGCTAAAAACAATTGAACATTTTAAAAAATTTAAATTTATTTGTTTTTTTTTAACGTATATCTCTATCTGCTTTTGTTAAACTATCTTCAAAGCTGAATAATTATTGAATGGAGAGTAAGGCCACTAACCTCTCCTCTCCCCTCCAGTTCCGTAGAAAAATGTAAAGACCGAGAACTCGCCAGTAAATCACCTCCCCTGACACGTCTTTATTAAATGATCTCCCCTTGCCTGTCCAGGTAGGCAGAGTTTGACAATGTAACCACTTGATCAATGGCCCCTTCAAACAGGGCCGTGGCTTTACCTTAAACTCTGAGGTACGCGGAGCTTAAGCTCATAAGCTCCTTATGTCGACATGTCGCTTGTTTATGTTGGATTCTAGCCCGTGGGGTCTCGTGATCGACCCACGGGGTTGTTTTATTCAACAGAATAAATAGGGGGCAGTGGTTCTTAGGGGGTGGGGGGAGTTTTTCTCAGGGGGTGTGGGATTTGTTCTTAGGGGTGGGGCGGGGGTGAGAGGGAGGGTTCTCAGGGGTGGTGGTGGTTCTTAGGAATGTTTGAGTGGTTATCGGGGGTGGGGGAGATTCTCTGTGTGTGTGGGAGGGGGGGGGTGGCGATTCTTCACCTCATTGTTTTTTAAAGTACGACCATTGTTCGAAGTGGCCGGTATCGCCTCACTTTGATCGTCCAATGTCCAAAAATAGTTCTTGGATTCTATTAAATCTTGAAGTAGGCTTACTTATCTATAATAATGATTAAAGGGAGTCATTTCTCTCCCAATGGATAAACCTAAATTATTTTTTCGGTTATCGTTCTTTCCAGACCGGCCATCTTGCCGTGTGAGCGGTGACGTGTGTTGGCGGGACATGGCGAGATTTATGTTGTTTATTTATCGCACGTCTGCTGGTTGAAACCAGTCCAATTTTGGCTCAGCTCGTGTGGATGTCAGACGTAGGGACATAGTTGACTGGGGACATTTTTTTTAGTAGGAAATTGGATTAAACGGGGTTAGAAGCGACTATTTTTAGAAAACACTTGATATAAGCAAGTTTATTTATAGACCTGGACTTTAAGAAAATGTACTTGTGGATTAAAAATGTTTTTAAATATATTCAGTGGCGTAGCGAGGTCGGGTGTCACCCTGTGCGACACTTAATGGTGTCACCCCCCAGAGGCGTAGCGACCCTTCCCGGGGACAAACTTTAAATTTTCGATTTGCACCCCCCCCCCCCCTCAAACTTTCTTAAAACACTATTTAACACTCGAATTAATAACTTTAAGTGGAATTATCATTTTTCTCTATATATTTTGCTATTTTTTGCCTTGGTGTCAACCCCTAAATGGTGTCACCCGTTGCGGTCCGCACCCCCCCCCCCCCCCCCAGAGTTTCTTCCAGGCATCTCTCTTTTAACGCCCCCCCCCGAACGAAATGAAATGTATATAATTTATATAGAAAATATATACTTTTAACAGTGTCCGCCCCCCCGAAGAAAGTTTACCCCCCCAAGTGCCCCCCCCCCCCGGAGAAAAAAGTCTGGAAGAAACACTGCCCCCCCCCCTCTCCTCTCTACGCCTCTGAATATATTAGAATGTAACGCAGTAAAGAAAAGTAAGTAATCATAAAACAGGAGTGATCTCCCCTACACTGTCTCGTACATTGGTGTACAACAGTTGGGGCGCAGTGATCGGGTTCTAGGGATGTACAAGTTTTTGACGAATCCGCTCGTAATTTGTCGAGAAAGACATCAAGTCGAATGTTCTTAGACATTCTTAGATCATGATTTTATGGAAATTATTTGTGAAAACTTTAGGAAGCTGTCATGAAGTACAACTTCCGATTACGGAAAAAAAATTGAAAAAAAAAGTACGAAAAGGATCTGTTATGAACATGGAATGTCGACCACCTAGCTGAAGCGGAATTCATGTTATTGTGTTCTCTCTCAGACATACATCAAGACAAGACCCGTTTTTTTAACCATCTCATTGGGGAATCACTGCCCCCCCCCCCCCTCCTCAAAGCACGGGCCCTATCCCACACGAAATAGAGAAAATATGAAATTTATAGAAAAAATTAAACACTGCAATAAGGATTATCCGAATAAGGATAGCGTCACAAATCTCGATTGCGCTATTTAAGCACGATTACAATACTTCATCTATACTGCGTACTGCGTACACAAGAAAGTAAAAAAACAAACAAAAAGAAAACCGAAACAGCATTACCTAATTTGTGGACACATCCTAAACATATTGTATAGGTCTCATGTGGTTTTAGAGTTAGAGTAAAAACATCTAACACCCTAGCAGTTCGAGTGTTGTTATACTTAACTCAACTTTTCCCTTGAAAAATTAATTGGATGTAGGCAGAAACTATTGTACCATCGCTAAATGTATGACAAAAGCACATCTAAATGACAACTACTGAATGACAGCTACTGGATGTCAACAGCCATATGACAGCTAAATGTCATCAGCTGCAGCAGCTGTCATATGGAGTCTGCTACAGAAATGGCTGACCAGTATGGGGGGGGGGGGGGGGGGAGGTACGGAATAAATGGGGGGGGGGGGTAGAGGAAAAGGGGTGGGGCTTGTTTATTTAGAGGTAAAGCTGTTTTTTTTTTCTCCTCTGTGAGATCATTGTCTATCAAATGGACCAGAAAGATTAAATTTTATTCATCGTTTTTTGTTTTTTTGTGTCTGTCCATTCCCTAGTCTGTCCATTCTCGTGTCATTGAAAACACAAGCAGTAAAGTCTGTTACTTTACACTCACCCTGATTGTACGGCTAAATCAAAAGTGCCTTACCTCCATGATGGTACGGCTAAGCCAAAAGTGCCGTACTCCCCATGATGGTACGGCTAAAAGTGCCCTACCTCCATGATGGTACGGCTAAACCAAATGTGCCTTACCTCCAGAGATCTGACAGCGATACAGTTGGTGTTCTCTACCCTCCCGATGCCGGCGTACACGTCCACCAGGCCGGCCTCTAGGGTGGGGCCGGCACACATGGCTGAGCTAGGCACGGAGCGGCCGTACTTGGCGTACTGGATGCTGATGACGGTCCTGGAGGGGCAGCTGACCTCCAGCACGTCACCGTCACAGGCGTAGGCCTGGAGCGTCTGCAGGGTGCGGATTACTGCCCCTGGGGGGGGGGGGGGGAGAGAACAAATTAATGAGTAGAGTTAATTAGGTACAGGTATCATGGATGATAAGTGGAGATACTACAAGGGGGGGGGGGAGAAGGTGGTAGGTGAAAAGGGTTAAGTTATAAGGGTGGATGCTAGAAAAGTAAAGTATGAATCTGAGGGTCTCTGTGGCAGGTGAAGTAGAGTTCACCTGTATCTATGACCTCGGCATATGAAAGGATAGTGTGGTCAGCACTATGCCAAGCCGCCTTTACTTTCTATAAAAGAGTCAGGTACCCATCAGAGCTGGTTGAACTCAGAAACGTTTTACGGACTTGAACCTGGATTCGCACTCGAGACTTTCATGTGCTCTACCATTCGACCCCCCCCCCCCCGTATGTGGTGGAGGGGTCTAATGTTGAAGCTTAGTGTGTGAGGCAAACTATGTATGAGCGAGTATATGAGGCTTGTTGTGGATCTATAAAACAAAACACAACAAAACAACAAAAAAAACAACATAACAAAAACAAAGCAAAACAAATTTTTAAACAAAAATAAACAAATCTTCTTGACACTTTCTGTAGCCAGTAGCTACCCTATTTTTGTGCTACAACTAGTAGCTACCCTACTTTTGTGCTACAACTAGTAGCTACCCCACCTTTGTGCTACAACTAGTAGCTACCCCACCTTTGTGCTACAACTAGTAGCTACCCTACTTTTGTGCTACAACTAGTAGCTACCCTACTTTTGTGCTACAGGCATTAAGCCTACATTTCCAATACACATTTTTACATTAGAAAGAGAAAATTTTAAAATTTAATTATACAATTTTATTTTACCTTCCCCGCTAATGTCCCCCCATTAATCTTTTTACATCCCCATTAAGCGAGATCCATTACCATTTCAAATGCGGGGATGCAAAAAATGGTTTCACTTTCGAGAAAAATTTAAATTTGTAACGGAATTTAAAAACGAAATATGCAGAATATTTTGTGTTGGATCAATGCAACAAATCCTAACGAATTACACCGTGGCTGGCATTGATGATTGTGTTAATTAATACAGTTTAATTACATTGTTTGATTTAAAAATAGAAAGTTTAGATTATATTAATTTAGTTTAATTCCATTTTTTAAATTTAAAAATAGAAAGTTTAGATTATATTAATTAATACAAGTTATTTACACTGTTTAATTTAATAAATAAAAGTAAAAATATGACGCACTTGTCGGAGTACCGACAGGAGTAAATTATATGGTTTTTTTTAATTTTGTTTTTTTTATAATGATCTTTTTTATTGAGTATAAGGGGGGGGGGGGGGTGGTGGGAAAAATTGGTAGGAGGGGAGGGGACGACGTTTTACTGTTGGGGGTGGGTAAGAATCGGATTTATGATGTTACGTCATGTATGGACGGCCATGAAGAGTCAGTATAGTCATGTATGGACGGCCATGAAGAGTCAGTATAGTCATGTATGGACGGCCATGAAGAGTCAGTATAGTCATGTATGGACGGCCATGAAGAGTCAGTATAGTCATGTATGGACGGCCATGAAGAGTCAGTATAGTCATGTATGGACGGCCATGAAGAGTCAGTATAGTCATGTATGGACGACCAGAGTCAGTATAGTCATGTATGGACGGCCACGAAGAGTCAGTATAGCCATGTATGGACGGCCATGAAGAGTCAGTAAAGTCATGTATGGACGGCCATGAAGAGTCAGTATAGCCATGTATGGACGGCCATGAAGAGTCAGTAAAGTCATGTATGGACGGCCATGAAGAGTCAGTATAGTCATGTATGGACGGCCACGAAGAGTCAGTATAGTCATGTATGGACGGCCATGAAGAGTCAGTAAAGTCATGTATGGACGGCCATGAAGAGTCAGTATAGTCATGTATGGACGGCCATGAAGAGTCAGTATAGTCATGTATGGACGACCAGAGTCAGTATAGTCATGTATGGACGACCAGAGTCAGTATAGTCATGTATGGACGGCCACGAAGAGTCAGTATAGTCATGTATGGACGGCCACGAAGAGTCAGTATAGTCATGTATGGACGGCCATGAAGAGTAAGTATAGTCATGTATGGACGGCCATGAAGAGTAAGTATAGTCATGTATGGACGGCCATAAAGAGTAAGTATAGTCATGTATGGACGGCCATAAAGAGTCAGTATAGTCATGTATGGACGGCCATGAAGAGTAAGTATAGTCATGTATGGACGGCCATGAAGAGTAAGTATAGTCATGTATGGACGGCCATAAAGAGTAAGTATAGTCATGTATGGACGGCCATAAAGAGTCAGTATAGTCATGTATGGACGGCCATGAAGAGTCAGTATAGTCATGTATGGACGGCCACGAAGAGTCAGTATAGTCATGTATGGACGGCCGTGAAGAGTCAGTATAGTCATGTATGGACGGTCATGAAGAGTCAGTATAGTCATGTATGGACGGTCATGAAGAGTCAGTATAGTCATGTATGGACGGCCATGAAGAGTCAGTATAGTCATGTATAGACGGCTACGAAGAGTCAGTATAGTCATGTATGGACGGCCATGAAGAGTCAGTATAGTCATGTATGGACGGCCATGAAGAGTCAGTTTAGTCATGTATAGACGGCTACGAAGAGTCAGTATAGTCATGTATGGACGGCAATGAAGAGTCAGTATAGTCATGTATGGACGGGCATGAAGAGTCAGTTTAGAGGGCCACTTGTGATTCAAAAGCCGCGGGTATCCTAACACTATTCTGGAACTTTCAGGATTTCCACTTCTTGCTGTCAGCAGATTCCAGGAAAAAAAAATAATGAAGAAATATAAAATGATAAAACACTCATTAGAGCTTAATTATTTGCTCGGGTCGGTGCTGTATATTTAACTTGTCATTGGGTTACAATCAATGGACTAGGGAGGGGTGGGGTGCCACGTCAGAACTAAACATGGCTGGAGGTACGGACATTTAACCAATGCTAGCGGTCAGGGTAATTCTAGACTGGCAGGCAAACACCCGCAGACCCCGAGCAACATCCGGTCCACAGACTAAACAAACCTCCCCCCCCCCCCCCCCACCCCACACACAGAAATGACCGGAGCCACTCTATGTCTCGCGTTAAATCCCGGTTATGTCCCTTTCTATAGGGGGAAAAACCCTGGAGATAAAAATAGGGAAATTTAGGGGAGACAATAAATTTTCCCAAACAAATGAAAGTTTGTGATAATGTGAGGGGAGCGATATTTTCAAGGGGAGATCAGCCAGTTGGAGCTTGATGACACGAGTTATGCCCGCCACTAGACGCCATAATTGTTGATTTCCCGTGCATGCGCACACGTGTCCTTAATTCCGTATCCGGTTGGCTATTTTTAGTTTGTTTTGTTTTAAAGCGAAATATACATTTTATTGTAAGGATTGTGTGTGAGAGTGCGTCGTGTATGTGTGGTGTAATGAAATCTTCATCCTATGTGCAGAGCTATGTCACATAATGTATCACAAAATGTGTGCACCCGTGAATTGTTGAAAATACCACCCCAGGTTATATAAAATGTATTACGCTGTGCATTCACTTTTCCTTCAAATGTTTTTGTATAACTTCTTTAAATATATCACCAACCATTACACCTCATCTCACCAAATATCTCACCTTATCTCACTTCACATTGATCAAATATGCGTCACGATTTGTTATTTAATCTCACGTATTACACGTGCAAAGAATGGTCTGCTGGTTGAGACCATGATTTATAACACAACAATCCAAAAATTGTTGTCGTAATTCAGCACACAACACACATGTAATTCAGCTCACAACACATACACTCATTCAGCACACAACACATACACTCATTCAGCACACAACACATACACTCATTCAGCACACAACACATACACTCATTCAGCACACAACACATACACTCATTCAGCACACAACACATACACTCATTCAGCACACAACACATACACTCATTCAGCACACAACACATACACTCATTCAGCACACAACACATACACTCATTCAGCACACAACACACATGTAATTCAGCACACAACACACATGTAATTCAGCTCACAACACACATGTAATTCAGCTCACAGCACACACATAATTCAGCTCACAGCACACACATAATTCAGCTCACAACACACGTGTAATTCAGCACACAACACACATGTAATTCAGCTCACAACACACATGTAATTCAGCTCACAGCACACACATAATTCAGCACACAACACACATGTAATTCAGCACACAACACACATGTAATTCAGCTCACAACACACATGTAATTCAGCTCACAGCACACACATAATTCAGCGCACAGTGCACACAATTCAGCTCACAACACACATGTAATTCAGCTCACAACACACATGTAATTCAGCTCACAACACACTCGTAATTCAGCTCACAGCACACACATAATTCAGCACACAACACACATGTAATTCAGCACACAACACACATGTAATTCAGCTCACAACACACATGTAATTCAGCTCACAGCACACACATAATTCAGCGCACAGCGCACACATAATTCAGCTCACAACACACATGTAATTCAGCTCACAACACACATGTAATTCAGCTCACAACACACACGTAATTCAGCTCACAGCACACACATAATTCAGCACACAACACACATGTAATTCATCACACAACACACATGTAATTCAGCTCACAGCACACATAATTCAGCTCACAGCACACACATAATTCAGCTCACAACACACATGTAATTCAGCTCACAGCACACACATAATTCAGCACACAACCCAAACTCACGCAAACGTCGACACAAACAGTTGGTCTAAAATAACACGTGATAAAACTCAAAGAAAGGCGTCACAATTCTTGGAGGTGTTAGCACTTTGACAACTCTTGAAGTATTGTTGGCAGTGACGTTGTTTTTTAAAGATCACGTATCTGATCGATCGAAGATGATTGGAAATCAGAATAAGCAATGGAGGTCACGTGGGAGAGGGAATATGGGTCGATGAAGGTCAGACAA